GAGACAGAGCCAGGACACAAACCTGCCCAGCAGCAGTGTCCTTCTGGCCCTGCTGAGCTGCCTCCCTGGAGGTCACCAGTCCCTACTGGGTAAGGCGCCTTGACGCTGACTCTTAAGACCACTCTTTGCAGGTAAAGCTGAGAGGGACACCAGCCATGAGCCCCCTCACCCAGGGACCCACCTTAACTGCAGCACCAACCCAGAGGACAGCGAAGCACCTGCCAGGTAACTCCACGGCCCCTTCTGGGGGGACTGGATGGGGGTGGAGGTGGGGCCCGGGCTGGGTCTCTGTGCCAAGCCTGCAAGTCATTTTGGAGAATTTGTGCCCGGCTCCTGCTGGCACCGAGCCAGGAACCCTGAAATGCAGCCCCTGTCCTCGGAGCGCCTGGGGCCCCGGCCTCGGCTACGCGACCTCCAGGGAAAGGAAGTATTCGCGAGCACACACCTCCCTTCTAACATCCCCTAGTCAGTCTCACCTCTGGCTTCTCTGCCCACAGCACCAGCCCCGCCCGGATCTCCCTGGCAGACTTCCCTGCCCATAAGGGGCATGCAGGGGCCGCCACCCACGCCCAGGGGGACGCCTCCCTCTCAACAAGTGCTCCCACCCCTTTCTCATCCACGGGGCGACCCACCCTGGTCTCAGGTAATGATCACGCCCCAGGAGGCGGGGCCTCCCTCCCGAGTGAGCAGAAGAAGGGAGGCTTCTCCTCAGTTTCTGGCACCCACTGGGTGGGGGGACCGAGGTGGACCCTGGGTTTCCGGCTTCTTGGGCTGGGGCTGGGGCTCTGTCACTTGCTGGCGATTGTTTCTCAGTTCTTGTGAGTAGGGGTTTCATTCAGAGCTTCCTCCCCGGGGCCCCTGTTTGCTACTCAGAAAGGATCTGGTGAATGGCTTTATGCCCTTGACCGGTCGCTTAATGCCTCTGCGCCCCAGTTTCGCCCCGCGGGATGGCATGTGGCTCAGCCCGGCTCCTCGCAGACGGTCGCTCTGGGCGGCGTTCCGGGCCTGCAGTTCCAGGACCGGGCACTAGGCGGCGGCGGCTCTCAGGCCGGCGGCTCTCAGGCCGGCGGTTCTGGGCGCCGGATGGTCTTGAACTCGCAGCATCAGCAACTTGCTAGAAAAACAAATCATCCTGGGCCCCACCCAAGCCCTGCAGAATCCGCATCTGCATCTTAACACGGTCCCCAGGACACTCCTCTGCACATTAAAGTCTGAGAAGTGCTTATCTGGCACAGACTACTTTTTAGCGTCTAAAAAATGCACTAAAAGGAGGCAAGTTAAGCACTAAGTTAAAAAGAAATATACCCAGGTAGCGGGTTCAGTGTGTGGCTGCTGGAGTCCTCCTGGCCCAGCCTGAACTGAGATTCTGCCATTTGCCCTCAGGGTGACCTTGACCGAGTTACCTAACCCTTGAGAGCCTGTTTCCCTCTTTTGTAAAATGAAGATGGCAGTGGTGCCCACGGCACAGGGCGGAGTGCGTTTATGCGAGGGATAGACCCCGTGCCTGCTCATGGAGCTTCCGGTCCAGAGGGGACGCACCTCTCCCACGGGCCCCCCTCCGCAGTCCCCAGACTTTGTCCTTTTGGGCTCCATTCCTTCTTTGTCCTGGTCCCTGACTCCTCAATCTCCCACCCTCTGGAAATGGTTTGCTTTTTGCTCCACTATTAAGGCTGTCCCGATGGGTTTCCTGGAGCCAAGTGAGGGAGGCAGGTGGGTAAGGGCTGGACCAGGTACAGTGTCTGGTTTTCAGTCCGGGATTGCGAGAGGACCAGGCCCTGGCAGCCCCGTGGAGACGGGCCAGGGCTGTCCAGCGCGGCGCCCTATAGTGGACTTTGGGGCAGAGAGTGCAGGGCCGCCTCTGTGTTCCAGGGCCTGTGTTCCTCTGGGCGCTCGCAGTGCTGGTGGTGCTCATCGGCTCCAGCTCCTTCCTCCTGTGCCACTGGAGGGCGTGCTGGAAATGGATTCGCCAGAGTGAGTGAGGTGTCCGTGGGGCATCGGGGAGGGGGGCGCTCTGTGCTGCTGGCCTGGGGCCCTGCCCTGCCCCCCGAGGCTCGCTGAGGCTGCGTCTCCAGTCCTCCTCCTGATGTCATTTCAGAGCTCCACCTTTGCTACCCGGTCCAGACCTTCCGGACCATGCCTGAGCCTGTGGGTAAGTGGTCAGATGTCGGGAGGGGCTGCTTGAGCTGCAAGGACACACGGCAGCACTGGGCCCTGGGTTTCGGACTCTTTCTGGATGGCTCCCACAAGCTGCGCCTCTACTGTAATGGGAACATCATGTGGGTGGAAACTGGGCCGTGCCCTGTGCAGCTTCTGAGTGGAGTTACTGGCATGAAGCTTTACAAACCCGCTAAACCTTTCATTCCTTTCTCCACAGGCCCCCCCAGGAGCTGGGGCCTGTTAAGCACGTGTGGAGCCCCTATAGCTGTGCAGGGGAAACGGTGGCTGCTGTTTGCTGGCCAGCCTGTGTCTGGGGCCTTGCTCCTCACTGGGAATCCCAGGCCTTCCTTAGTTCTAGGTTGTTCTGAACCCTTCCCTGGTCCTTGCTCTCTGACCCCTCCAGGGAGCCTTCCGGAGCCCCGGGCCCTCCCCACTCACCCAGGCAGCAGATCTCCTCCAGCTCTTACCTGGTTGGGGGTCGGGCATGTTCCCAGACCCCTTTGCCCAGTGTCCCCTCTCCTGTGCAGCCCCTTTCAGGGCAGGGAAAGGTCTTCTGCACACTGTGTGTGCTGGGCCCTGACCACAGAGGGGGGAGTGAATGTGAATGGCCTGAGCTCCCCTTTCTGTTTCAGGGCAGTCTCCCTCTCCTAGGGGGTCTCCTGAGCCAGGAGTCCCAGGGGAGATAGGTGATGATTTTCTCTCTGTAAGGAGGGGATAACTGGTCCAGGACCACACATCCCAAGTGCCACTGCAAGGTTCCTTCCTCGTCCTTGAGGTTGCTGTTCTGTTCATAAAGGGCTCAGTGTTGTCCCCTCTGTCTTTCGGCACTAGCCC